ACTTATGTCAAATCACTATCTTCGATCGTTGCTTCGTATTTCGTGGTAGACCTCCAGGGTAAAGTTAAGAAAGCATTAGGGAGGTACTTTTGCGCTGATAGCCTCTTTTGCAAATACCTACTGAAATACCATTTCCAATTTTTAAGTATCTTTAGAGCTCCTTTTGAAAGAGTTCGTTCAGGAAAGTACTGCCACTTTAACTATTTCTGCCGCCAAGCAGTAATGTCAGCATTACTGTGTTCCGGTTTTGAAGGCTAAGGGTGCTGGTGAAATTACAGGCACGTAGGAAATGTCTCAGGGTGACGGGCGCAGTGGCAGTGCCCCTCAGATCTTTGCAATTAAATCTCTGAGTGGCACTGCAACTGTTATGGACAGGCGTGTACCATTAGGCGCACGACTTTTCGTCCCATCACTTGATATTATATAAAAAAGTATAATTTTATAATAATAACAAAGTTGATTGAATGTCTTTCTTATAGAACAAAGACGAACGAATTTACAATGAAAGCATGACGAAACAAGTAGGTAGATATTCAGTTTTACTCTTTGAACCATTCTTATAACGAGCAGCGTAGAGTTCAATTTTAATCTGAAGTCTAGATGTAAGTGTACCGATTCTGCTTTGTTTTAGTCATAACATCACAAACGTTACACATTATGACTAAACATGTTTATTATTATGTCTAGACGCACTTACTATATGCAACTTGGTAATTCATGCCAAGCGCCATACGAAATTTGACTTACTCATTCAATACACAATGTACGAGCTTGAAAGCGGTTATTGGCACGATAGAGTAACGGTAAATGTACTTGCATTCGATACCATGGACACGCCACTTTGAGAATGATTGATGGTGTAACCTACATTTAGGTCAAAATGAATAAATAGGTTGTAAAAGAAAGTACCAAATTAGTAATTTTGATTGACACTAATTCGAAAACCGATACGAGTATAAGTGTCTCACTTATGTATGACATGAGAGTTTAATCATCAAGAAAAGTCTCATTGCTGGACTCGGGACTCGTCTAACAAAGGATCAACCATAACTCAACCTTTCTTTTCTTCGGGCTACATACATGACTGCCTTCGTAGCCGAACGGTTACCATGCTGCAGAGGTCCTGACTTCGATTCCCTGACTGGGAGAAATATTTGTATGGCCATATTCATTTATCTCATGGATTTAAGTGTAATTTGTCGTTGTCTATGTGCGTGTACATGGCACCTGCGACACAAGGTTTCCCTAGTGCGGGACTATGAGTGTTATGCGTTAGGAGTGTGTGCATTTGCTGTTATACGTTCCACATTTTTTTGAGTGATGACCTTTTATTAGGTCATCCATTTAAAATTATTGAGAACCTCGTTTGTGAGTTTTATTTACTCCCATATAATAAATAACACATAAAATCTATGTCCAAACACAAGACCTAGGTATATCTCGCTCAAGATTTTAAAATTTAGAAACCCATACCCACTTCATAAACCTTTCTCTGACGTGCAGGTTTAATTTATTATGATGTTTTCTTTCACCGTTAAATACATAATATTTAATCAACTAAACTGAACTCTGAACAACCTACGTAGGAATGAAAGACTCCAGCGATTATGACAAAGTCAATCTGTTTTCAAGAAGTTTATGTTTAGAAAAGGTTTATGGCAGTGAGATAGTCATAATTCTAATTAAACATAATATTATAACATCATTCAATGTAATACCGTCAACAGTGATATTCTCTTTCCATCAATGTTGTCATTTAAACTGTTAGTATTATTATATGTCAGAGAAAACGCGGATAGCCGACAGGAAAGTAAGTTATGGCATTTAATTAGAAAGGTCTATAGCTTAGACATCTTGCTGATGATAAATATATAAAAAAATCTAAGAAATATCGTCTCACGAACAGTCATATCTACCCATTGATATATCTACATATCTAAAAGCAGCAGCAGAGCTTTTTGTGAAAGAGTTCGTCCAAGGAAGTACTGCTACCTTACCTATTTCTGTCGTCAAGCAATAGTGTGAGCATTAGTGTGGACGAATTATTCGTCTTGTTACTTGGTATCATGAAAAATAACTAAGTAAATAGTAAGTCAGCTTCAAATCAGCATTTTAAAAGCAAACTTTTTGATAACGACACGTGTTCAAAATGAGCAATGCTAAACCGAAAATACATTCCCCGGAAAAATAGCTTAATACGAGTTACGCCATTTAGTAGAGCGACGACATTGCTAAGCTTTTTTATAAAATAATAAAAAAGACACCACATATTACCGCACTAGTCTTAATCAAAAAGTAAATTTAAAAACCTGTTTGTTACACACTCATGTTATTCAAACAATGTATGTATTTTAATGAACAATTATCGTCCCTACACACGCAAAAGTTGTTATTATGAAGTATTCCACCGGACAAAGGATGGATTCATTTTCGATATGCAAATTAGCGTGATAATGACATTTTGTAATATTCATGGAGAAGATAAGGAACGAAAAACGAACGAATTTACGTGTACTAGATATAGTCATTAACTTTCTTAGTCATTTAAATCGAGGTAGATTAGTTTAGATTCTCAAGCAACGTGCTATACAAATAACGTTTTTTTTCCTATTATGGCAACTTTATCTACCCCAGATAGAGACACTATTTTGCCAGTATCGAATTTAATGACATGGACGAAATTTTGGATGTGACCACATGACGTATTTGCAAATGCAGTGGTCCAAGTTTTAGTAATACTTGTAAAACAATTGTAGAAAGCGTCCTGGATTTATAGAAATAAATAAAAAGTTACAGCCTTAAATGTATGGATCCTCAGTTCTCACATCTTTTCTCACATCGGACCTTTCAAATCTGGGTAACTATTAAGATTACGCGTGCTTTTGCGTACGAACATTTAGTAAAGATGTATGTAAATGTTTTTACCAAAAATAACAGGTCATAGAACATTGCTGAAAACAATTACAATTATTTGGGAGTATTCTGATGATCCGCGACGAACGACGTAATTTTATTATTTGTGATACCAATAGTGACATGAGAAACAAGTTGTGTGCTTGGTAAGCGACATGCCCGTCCATAGCTGTTGCAGTGCCACTCAGAGCTTTAAATCGCAGATCTGAGGGACACTGCTACTGCACCTGTCGCCCAGAGACATACGTTGCCAAGTCCCATGTGCCATTTCAACAGCACCCTTACCATTCAAAACCGAAACACAGTAATTTTCACGTTACTGCTTATTCCCTGGACGAACTCTACAGCAACCAAAAAAGGAATGTCGTCGCAGCCACGACTTTCACAATCATTTTACAATAAAAACCAGTCAGTTAAACATAGAAACAGCGAATATCGTGATATTACTATTGTCATATCGCCAAGTGATAACAATGTCTCCGACATTAGTGCGTGATTTCTCACAAAAAACGATATTTTTTAACGAAGTAAGTTGCATATCTATAAAATATCATCGCCGCAGTAAAAAAATAAATTAATTAAATTTAAATTAAATTAATTAATTTAATTTAAATTTTAGCTTTTTTTCAGTAAAAGATATCGAAAAACATGTAGAAAACTTTTATCAAATATTGTTTGGCATGTAAAATCTATAATATTACGATTGTGTAATACGAGTATTTGTTAAAAGTATTTTCATTCAATAATACGAATAAAAACCGTTGAATGAACAATTTGCTCCTTTCTTATCCGAACTCTGACACCATATCGCTCAATATTAAACAAACCATCTCTATGGTAGTACGGTAGGGACTTAAAAAATACCCACCACACTATCAGTTGTTTGCTTAATTGTACGACGGGTCCCGCGGGATAACTTGTCACAAAGACGCGGCAGCATAGTATTGTGTATTTCATAATAAGCTCAACGAGGGGTATGGTTGACGAAGCATTTTTTTTATAATACCTCGTGACGAGGCAAACAAGTCGTGGGCCTGGCGGTAGCCGACACGTAACATTGTGGTTACTGTGCCATTCAGACCTTTAAAACGCAAATACATATATCTGAGGAGCACTGCCATTGCGCCCGTCACCCTGAGACGTAAGTGACAAGTCCCATGTGGCTGTAATTTTACCAGCACCCTTACCCTTCAAAACCGGAATGTTGTAATGTGAGCATTATTGCTTGGCGGCAGAAATATTTAAGACCGCAGTACATTCCTGGACGAACTCTTTCACAAGGAGTTGTACCGCTACTACATACATTTGTTATTACTGAAAAACTGACACGTTGTTTTCACATTAGTCATATTGCTTCTGGAAATTGTTTAACTGAGAATTCTTCAATGATTTTTGCAATTAAACTTGTCCTCCACGTTATTCATTAACTAATGTTTCCAATAACCATTACCAACATATCTTACCACTTAATAAAAAAATTGTTATTTCATCAATTACAGAGTTTTTTAACGAATAAATTTGAATATAAAAATTTTATGACCAAACTGAACCTGAAGATTATGTTTCATGAATATTTTTGGTACAAACAACTTACTTACTTAAATAAAAAAAATACTATCTAGTGCAAACGCACGTTATACAGGTACACGTATACATCTTTATAACAAAAATGTAACGTAGATTCTAATCGACATTTGTAAACCAGTTTCAAGTGAATTCGTAATGATTGTAAAATGAGAATGATATTATATTACAATTTATGCTAAAATAGAATTGAAAACCGATGTATGAATTTTTGCGTTGAATCCTTAAATATTTAAATTATTGTATTATTTCGTATGTTATTATTTCCCTAAATTTTATAACCAAGCCAAAAGTATAGTGACGATTTTAACATTATTTATAGTATTCTCAGAAAGATGTACTTCTGTTAGAAGCCTATTTGCCATTTTTGTTACAATTCAATACATTGTTACGAAAGACAACAAATCCATGACAAAATTCCAATGCAAATAACTTAAATTCTATTTAACGTGTTCTAGAAGCATCTCTATACCGACCTCAATAATAAAACATTATAAAATTACCTTAGGAGCAGGCGGCGGAGGCTCAGCCACATCCGAATCCCATTCCGAACTGAGATCATCACTCGAGGCTTCCGTAAAATCCTCTGTCCACGGCACGTTAGATAGAGAACTCCTCATCTGTTCATATCCAGGTGATAAAGTCTCCGGACCGTAGCCAGGAGGCAATGGACTAGATGCTCTACAATCGGCACAATTACACGGCTTAGGACCAAAAGTCTCTTTAGTATGAGAATCATCCTTCAATTCGGACTTGGAATTCCTCCTCGAATCGCGCTTTCTCGCACTTCTTGGTGATAGTCTATTGTTACACTGAGGAGGGATGTAATACCTTGGTTCAGACAGTCTTCTCCCATTATCTGGAGCCTCTATTTTAATAGGGGTAAGAGATATCTTCTTCACGGGCTGCTGATTGTCATCAGAAGGCTGATCATCCGACTCCATGGTGTAGCGTATTATGGGAATAGTGAACGTGAACAGTTCGGGGCACTCCGGCATTATTATTGATAATCACTTCACTGAAAACTGTCTTCCACCTGTTTTTGGTAGGAGGGTTAAAGACATCTTCAATAAGGTTACTATTTAAACTGTCACTTTGTAGCTCACGATCATTTGTTTTCGAGAGACGCGCGCGTCGTCGTCGCGCGCGCAGAGAACACTGCGTGTGCGACTTTAGTTCTTAACTTCGCGCTCTCGCAATATAACACGGGGGCTCTAGGTGCAATTAAATTAGCTATCGACCCGTAACCGTAAGATAATGCGGGTGATAATGACATTAATGACCAAAACGTGACCAAAATTTATATGCTACAATGTCCACAACAGCACAATTCGAGTGCATTCTACCGTACAGTGACGTCAATAAAAGTAATATTTTGCTCTTTAATTATCCTCATAATAATATTAACAACAATAATGAGTACCTGCTTTACAAATAATAATTCATGATTAGGTATTACAAAAACAATGGAATTCTTTAGTACATGGTAGATATATACAATACAAAAAATAGTTGATTTAAGTTCAAGAAGATATTTTGAACTTGATAAAAAATATATACATCTACATATTTATGTACTTTGCGTGTTTTTCAATGCCATACTGATGCCATAATGGTTTGTGTTAAATGTAAATATTTTATTAAACTATTCTCTATTCTCATAAATTCCATTAAATAGAATGTTTTTAATTCGTGGATAGATCTTACAAAAAGGTACATTATTATATGTATAATGAGATTAGGGCGGTGTATAACCATTATGTAAAAAGTATTATTGATGAGGCACTTTTGTAAACTCTTCGTGAATGACGCACTACAACTGAAGGTCTCAAAATAACAAGAATCTATGCAAACTAAGTTCGTGGCCTTTGAACAAACAACAATAGTATTTACAAACAATTGACATTTGTAAGACACTATTTAAATACCTGAATTAATATCATTCACAGACTTCGTATTCAAAAGAATAAAAATTCCACCGATCTCAACAAAATAGTCTCATATTTTCTTTCTGGTCTCTTCTGATACACTCCATTCCTTCTGATTTTGTGTGTTCCTCATCCAATTTATCTGTTATTTTGACAAGGTCGGCAGCGCATCAATTGTCTGCCTACGCTTCTATACCCTTCTCCGGGTTTCCACTCAATCACCATTCTACCGCATCTGTTTTTATCTATAGCCTGCCCACTACCACCTTCTACTGGCTATCACCTCTATGTCGATCAGACAGAACAATCTCTGTGTTTCTGAACCGAGAAAGAAACTCGAAAAAAGTAAGTCTTATTGTGTAGTATACTATGTTCTATGCCAACATAATCTATTCTAAAGCTCTCTAGGGTAGTAACAAGTCGTGCACCAGGTTATAAGAGACACGTCTATCCATGACAGTTGCAGTGCCACTCAGAGCTTTATATCGCAAAGATCTGAGGGGCACAGGCACTGCACCCGTCACTCAGAGACGTAAGTTGACAAGTCCCATGTGCCTATATTTTCACCAGCACCTTACCCTTCAAAACCCGATCTAAGTAATGCTCACATTACCGCTTGGCGGCAGAAATAGGTAAAGTGGCATTACCTACCTGGATAAAGATCCTCTTTCACGAGGTGCTATGCTGGCTGCCTAGCATCTTAGCTAAGTCGATCAGGTTGAACGAATCGGATCTCTGTTTCTGAATCGAGAAAAAAAATGAAAGAGATAAAAGAGATATCCAACATAGCCCTTTCAAAAGATTTCTGGACGACTTCGGTTCCCGCAGATTTCTTATTGTATTGTTGATAATTCCATATATACATACAGTGTAAGTAAAAACTTATATTCATTCATTTAATGATAACTTAAGTGTCGTTTAGCCTTTTTACTATTCAATCGCCTGTAAAAATGATGACAAAATGTAACACTTTATTACAAGTTGTTCATGTCTCAGGGGTGTAAAAAACACAGGTTCTTTTATAGAGAAAAATATTACATTGCATCGTCTTAGTTTAAATATGCAATAACGTAACTAGAAAGTAGATTTCTATGTAAGTAACACAGAAACCTACTCAATATTTGTGTGCAATCATTGTATACAGTATATTAGATTCCTACAATTTATTCATATCATGAGTAATCATATCATAAATCCGTACAAATTGACCCGTGAGTAAAATGTGCAATTTATACCATTTCAATAAATAACCTACCATCAATTTTAATACCAAGTTACCTCAAATTATCTTAAACACAAGTCATATCGGCTAAATCAGTGACAATCTGGACTTTGACTTATCTCATCAAATCACACCTGTAATGAACATCGTCATGCAACGTAACCGTAGGTGTTGGTTAATGCTTCTTTTGATTTTTTTATTGTATTAATTTTTTTTTTATATTTTGCGCTGAATATTTTGTGAACATATACAAGGTTATTTTTAAAATACTAATATCCATAAACAACAGCTTTTGTTCCATGACTTTTTACTAAACAATTTACCAAAATTAAACTTTTTCAGTTTATGTTGTATTTGGTACAATAAGTTCAAATATGCAACGACTCCCACACCCGTCCTGTACAGAGTTATTACTGTTTCGAGCGATCTATTTAAATGTATTTATTTTTGTAAGAATGTAAAATCTGATGAATAACTTATAAATTAAATAACCCTGTATATTTTGTTCTAAGTAGTGAGTTTCTGTAACTAGCCGTTTGTACTGTTTATCATCATATCAGACGATTACTGCTGAACATAGGCCTACCCCAAAGATTTCCAGACTAGCGGATCGGACGTGACGTGCATCTATCGGTTACCCACCGCCCTTCCCAGGTCATTCGTCCATCCAATAGGGGGCCGTCCCACTGAACGCCTTCCGGTTCGTGGTCTCCATTCGATAACTTTTCTGCCCCAACGGCCGTCAGTTCTACGAGCTATGTGCCCTGCCCACTGCCACTTCAACTTGCTAATCCTTAGAGCTATGTCAGTTACTTTCGTTCTTCTACGAATCTCTTTATTTCTGATTCGATCCATAGCTCGTTGAGTGACTTTGAGCTTTTTATGAGACCCATAGTAAGTGACCACGTCTTAGAGCCATAGGTACTGTTTGTAACATATTGTATAAGATGTATAAAAATGCTGTTTGGTGTTATTATTGATACAAAGATTGAACACACTCAAAAATTCCTTCTAAATAGTCCTTCTATCCGGCTGGACTTGAACCAGCGACTTTTTCGCGTATCGCGGGCTATCGCTCTCCCAACTGAGTCAACAGGCCTTACGAATTTCTCCATGAGCTTGCTGTATCTTTGTTTATGGTTTTAAATAAATAAACACAACAGACAATCGTAACAACCAACCTTTGAAATTGAACTACTTTATTTACCTTTCATCATCATCGTCATCAACCCATTTATACGTCCCACTGCTGGGCGCGGATCTCCTTTCAGACGAGAGCTTAGGCCCTACTCCGCGACGCTGGACCAATGCGGGTTGGGGATTTCACACGTTTTCCGAGGGTTGTGAACTTTCAACGTGCAAGTTTCATCACGATGCGTTCCTTCATCGAAAAGCTCATGACAAATTTCAAATTAAATTTTATATAATAAATTTCGAGAAACTCAGAGGTGCGAGTCCGGGTTCGAACCCATGACCCTCTGCTTGCGAGGCAGTAGGTCAAACCATTAGGCTACCATCGCCTTTTTTTAATCACCTTTACGTGTGTTTAATAAACCAACTCTCGCTTCAAGAGATTTTTCCTCTACTTCTACATCTTCAACAAAATGCATTCGAGGAAGAAATAAAACCAAATAATATCAAACGTTGTTTCTTTTTATATCAAACTGTATGGACCTTTTACACCTTGTGTATTTGCCTTTATATCTCTGTAGATTATATTTAATGTTATTGTCATTAGTTTCAACTTACAAGGAAGTGGATGTTTATGCGATAAGCAAAAATATAAAAATGTTGTTACTATAACGTTAAGATCTTAGTTTTGCGTTTAACTTCTTAATGAGAAGGAATTATCCAATCCACGTTGTTGTAAATAACGTAATATATAACCATGACTAATATTAGACAAAGCTATCACGCGTCTACACTTCCAGTTTTCGACTCTGGATAAAATAAAGTCAGAACTCGTTTGTTGTCAGAACACTATGTGATGCGTTGTCTATGGGACTCGCTCTCTCACTGCTATAACTCGGTAATTATTCTATTAAGAAGAATATCGAAGGCTCTTTCTTTACACACCCACCCATCTTTCATGAATCAACCTCATCGTCACTTTCCATAGGGTGAGATGGATGTCAAATGCACACTCATTTTTTAGTAGCAGTAGAGCTCCTTGTGAAAGAGTTCGTCCAGGGAAGTACACTGGCACATTACCTATTTTTGCCGCAAAGCGGTAATGCTCGTATTACAGTGTTCCGGTTTTGAAGATTAAGGGTGCTGGTGAACGTGACGGGCGCAATGGCAGTGTCCCTTCGGATCTATGCGATTTAAAAATCTGAGTGGCACTGTAGCTGCTATGGACAGGTGGTCGCTTACCACCAGGCATACTACTTGTTCGTCCCGGCACTTAATAACATAATAATAATAATGTTAGTATTTTTTCAGTCTCGTTTTTAATAATAATATACCATAAATAAATTCAACACAGATTGTGTTGAAACAGTACGCAGAAGTTGTATAATAAACTTCTATAAAGTTTTGTTTCACAGTTGTTTTAAACCTTGTAAATGGCAAATTTTGAATATCAATCGGAATCTTATTATCGAAGCGTATACTTTGCCCCTTAAATGAATTTGAGACTTTATGAAGACGGCTAAAAGAACAGCTAGTTTATTTTTATTCCTCGTATTAATGTTGTGTCTGTCACTATTTTTTATAATAAAAAAAATATTTTATATTTTGTATTAAGTTTAAATTTTATGTTAAAAAGTATCTAACTCAAACCAGACAATTAAGGAATGACCATAATTTATGCCTATACGAACCGCGAACCAACTACGGTACTAAGAAT